AAGCCTTGCAGGGAGGAGTGCGTGGATGCCATCTCTAGTTTCTGAGATAGAAACTGTGTCCTTGACTGAGTCACAGAGAAAAGGCATCACATGTAGGGGTACCGGAGTCCTGGCCCACAGCACATCCCCTCAACAAATATGTGTGAGTATAAGTGGAAAGACTTGATCTTAGAATCTCATTGCCTTAATCTGGCAAATGCAGATTCCTGTACCCCCTCTGCATAAAGAAGCTGTTTTGAGCATAAAATAAGAAGAGAGCTGTGAAAGTCTTTTGCAAAATTAAGATGTGACTCTAATGCCTGGGGAAGACTGCCTATAAGAAGGATTTAAATGAGAGAAGTGAGAATATTTGTGGCTATGAATTTGTGTGGGTTGAGGGAGAGGGATTTGTTTGATCAACCACAAACTCTTTGGCGAAGCATCTATTAAGCACCAGGCAGTGATAGCAAACGGAAGAACAGAACCCAAACCCTGCCTTCCTAAGGCTCTCAGTCTGGCTAGTGGGTACATGCAGCCTGGGAGACGGATGGTGCAGTTCTTGCCAGGGCGTTTTGCGGCATGCAACAGAAATCATCAAATTTTCTAAAGGAAAGGGCACTTATTCTTGGGAATTCCATGGCATCCAAGATAAAGCAGAATAAGCCGGATTGCTTTGGGAACCCCAGTATCAGGAGTTTAAAGACCTTTGCCTCCCAGGAGCCAAACTCATGGTACCTCATCTCTCAAATCCTTTGGTCTATATTTCAAAGTAGCAAATAAAAAACAAAACGATGATCGGGGTGACATATGTTAATAAGTCGATGCTGAATGTTAAATCTAAGGGATGAAAAGGAATCCGATGCAGAGAGGCAGGGGATAATATTCCTGGCAAAGGCAAGAGAAAAGACAAAGGCCCTGAGGTCAGGGAAGAATTAAGCAGCAAGAGCGTAATCAGCAAGGGGCAGTAGCCAGATTACACACGCTTGCTCTTCACCTGCTATCAAGAAAATGCCATAGAGCGGTGCCTGCGGCTCAAGGAGTAGGGCGCCGGCCCCATATGCCAGAGGTGGTGGGTTCAAACCCAGCCCTGGCCAAAACTGCAAAAAAAGAAAAGAAAATGCCATATGATACATATCAGATAGGTTGCTTTCTAAAACTTTGATTTAAATCCTCCCAGCTCCTTTGTTAACAAGACTGTATGGTCCATTTCTGAGTCTGGGTCTCCATGTCTCTGTGAGCAAGGAGGGGGCTGGAGCAAATGATCCCGTTTGCATCCTAGGACCAAAAAACAGAATTCATTTGTCAAGTAGGGTGACCGTACATACCGGGTTTCCTGGGGCCGTTTCAATTTATGCCACTTGTCCCGGCTTAATTATTCATAGCATCCTCCTTCACTCTCAAAAGTGGCCCAGTTTGGACATTAGGTTAGAAGGTTGTGCTATTTATGGGGGAAGGGAGGTGCGCAGAGCTGGGCTGTCAGCAGTGGGTTAGGCGCTTTGCCTTGATTCTTGTTAGGCATTTCCTTCCGCTGAGCTACAGGGAGGTTGGTTTTGCAGACTTTCCAAAATGCCCAGGCAAGCTTTGATGGGCACCAAATATGCATAGCACAATTTACTCACGCTACTCGGAAAGATCTGACACTCGGCACGCACTGGTGGAAGCTGGTAACCGCACGTGGGCCAATGCCTGAGCCTTGCTTGGATGGGGTCTGGTTGGGTGTGCGTGATGGCAGCAGTGAGTGACAGTGGGATCATATTGGTTCGGTTCTTAATATCCACAACCTAGGGTATAAGGTAGGGGTTAACTCTGGGAACATGCAGAGGGGAAGACCCCAAAATGGAGCCCATAATACTGTCAAATCCTCATAGCTATGGACCCCAGAGAGGGCAAGCTGTGGGCAAGCGAGCTTCAAATCCTTCCCACAGAAATTTATATGTATCTCCTAAGAAATGGGTGGTAAATGCGTATCAGCCCTGCCAACAGGCAAGTGGGTTGCAGTAGCTTGTTAGGCAAGTGGGTGGGGTCACAGATTGTGGGACTGTTTTCTTACCTGAGATCAGGGAGGAGGCAGGGGCAGAGGCTGGGGGGTAAGAAAGGTAAGACCTTTTTTGGTTTAAATCAAGTGGCACCTCCGAGGGTAACTGATCTCAGACTTTCTATCTACGATCTGGTCCTTTTGTGTGTACGTGAACATAAGCAGACACAGCTGGGGAAAGCCCCCTTCTTCATGTGAAGGAAAAAAAAAGTACTCAAGAAGTGAAATTCTTTAAACTTCTAGGAGGCACCCCAGGGGTTTTTTTTAGCAAGTTTCTTGAAACCTCAAAGAGAGAGATGAGGAGAAAAGGGGCCCAAGGAATGAGTCTTTGCTTTCTTTGCTCCTTGTTAGATTTTTGTTTGTTTGTTTGTTTTGTCTGAAGATTCTGGCGTGTGGGGATGATCTCACAGAGGAGAAAATAAGTAACGTTGGGTCAGTTTGTTTATTGCACAAACAAGCTCACACATACTCATTTACAGAGCGCTTACTACAGGCTAGGCCTCAAGGATATGAAGATGAACAGCATGAGCAACTGACCCCTCCTTCCCCAGCCCAGAAGTTCACGGTGAAGTGGAGAGAGACCTGAGATCTGATAAATGACCGTTACCTCTGAGGCGTGCTGTGTAGAGAGGTTTGGGCACACATCTGCTCACACACACACGGCTTGCTCTTTAGTGCTGCTCTTAATTGTTTACCCAGCTCTGTCCCTAGAACGCCCCGTCCCATCTTTTTTTGTATTTGCGCATAAAATGATTTTTTTGTTTTGAGACAAGGCCTCACCCTGTTGGCTAGAGTGCAGTGATGGCATCATCCCTCACTGCAACCTCAAGCTGTTGGGTACCAGCCGTCCTCCTGCCTCAGCCTCCCAAAGTGCCAAAATTACAGGAATGTGCCACCAGGCCTGGCCTAACATGACTTTTTCCTTTTTTGAGGTTAAATTCACATAACATAAATGTAACCACTTCAAAGGGAACAATTCAATGGACTTAGTACAGTCAGGATGTTATGCAGCCACCACCTAGCTCTAAGACATTTTCGTCACCCTCAAAATAAAACTCTGTGCCTATTTATATTAAGCAGTTCCCCCTCATTCCCACCCTGCAGCCCCCAGAAAACACCAGTCTGATTTCTCTCTGTGAGAGGAGGCTTTGTGGAATATCAGCATTTCTTTTCATGGCCAAATAATATTCCATTGTCCGTTCACACCACAATATGTTTATCTACCCATTCATCTATTGACAGGCGTTTGGGTTCTTTCCACCTGACTATCGTGACTAGTGCTGGTGTAAACATTTGTGTACCGACATTCGAACACACTCTTTAGAACACAGACCTAGGAGAGGATTTCTTGGTTTGTACAGCAATTCTACATTTAAATCTGGAGGAACCACTAAGCTGGTTTCCATGGTGGATACCTTTCCCCTTCTGAACATCCACAAAGTTCTAGAGGTTTGATGCTTCTCCACGGCTTAACTGAAAAACTTGACTCCTGGATTATAAATATGCCAAGCAGCTCTAAGGGCTAGGTTGGTCCAGTTGCTCAGAGCTTGACCAATGAGGCTAAGGTCAGGGTTTGGTCCCCATTGACCGGTTAGCTGAGCTGTGTAGACAGAGTGAAGAACTGTGTCCACCAGCAACGGGCACCACCACTGAATCCTGCCCTCTTGCAAAAGCTTGTTGGTGGTCACAGGGGAAGGGGGCAAGTGTTTTTATGGTTTTACATAAAGGAAAAAAATCTGTCATCCAAGGTCTACTGAAGGCCTGGGAGGACTAACCTGGATCAGATGATTACTCTTTTCCAGTCCTGGTGTCACCTGGTTTCTGTGGGACCCTTGGGTAAACGTCTTAACCCTGTGCAGAGCCTCAGTCTCTTCTTCTTTGAAATGGGAACGCTGACCCTTACTCCAAAGGGACTAGATACGAAAGCACATTGCTTGCATTTTCTGGCTGGGTTGTTACAGGCTTCCAATAAACGCTGTTGAATCTGAAGCTAGACCACCTCTGCGCCTGCAGGCGCACCCCACTGCTTCTGCAGAGTACTCTTAGCTGCACTCCCAAGGTTGACTGAGCTGGAACGGTGGCCTGCTGTAGTCTAGGGGGTTACATTGGCTGTTTTAAATTGTCCTATTTGCATGGAATGAAGCTTGCTATGGTAACAAGGTCTGGTGGCTGGAATCCAGGGCCCCATTTCACTGAGCAGAGCCAGTGCTCTGGGACAGAAAGAGGAGCTGGAAGGGCTCATTAACGTTAAGTTACCCCAGTTCTCCTGCGAACGGGGAATCAGTAAACTGAGGCAGGCAAGAGGGACGACGCCCCAGGGACGCCTTCCGTGTTCTTTCCTATCTCATCTCCCTCCCCGCCAATACTCAGCCCAGCTAAGAAGCTTAGGACCTGGCTAAGGCTGGGCGCCCCTCTACCCGGCGTGCACACACGGAGGCTCAGGCTGTGGGGAGGTCGGAACGCCGGAGGCCCAAGCGAGGGAAAGACCGGGCTCCCTCCGGAGGTGGCCAGGGCAGGTCGGGCGGCGGGCGTGGGTGCACCAGCTCGGTTCCCCGGTAGGCGGTTGAGGGAACCCAGAAGCCAGAACTCCACTCCGGAGCTGGCGCTGGCTGGCGCCCCCACCCCCCGGAACCCCACCCCACCCCTGCTCCACTCCGGGCCCCACAGCCAAGCCCCCTCTCTCCCAAGCACCCAGCGCCCCCACCCTTCACCCCAGCACGGCGCGGGGCACTAATTCGCCGTGCAGGGGCTGCCCCACCGCTGCAGGGAGGGGACAGAGGGCCCGCCTGGGCCCGCGCGACCCCCCCACTCCTCTCCAGGAGCGCCACCTTGGCCCCCACCCGGCTGCCGCTCTCTGCCCCCTCCCCGGGGGGTGTGTCCCCGAAGTGGGGGCCGTGGGAGGCTGAGGGTGCCCCCAGCCCCGGGAGCAGGCCCCCTCCCGAGTGGGCGGCGAATGGTAGGCTCCATTTAAAGAGTGCCTGGCGGAGCGCGGTGTCCTTCTCTGAGCAGCTCTCGGCGCCCGCCCGCCGGGGTCTCGGCGATCGCTGCTGCTCCTCCTCCTCCTCCGCTTTCTCCTCCTCCTCCTCCCCCCGCCGCCTCGCCACCGCCGCGGCTCGGGCTGGAGGCGCCGCTGTCATTCCTGCGCCCGAGGAGCCGGCGCTGCCGGTGCCCGGGGGTCGGGGCGCGGGCGAGCCGGGCCGCGGGGGACCCAACAGGTAGAGCCGGGGGTGCCCGGCTGCGTGCCCCCCCGCGCATCATGCAGCTCTTTGTCACCTCTCTCGCCCCCAGGCCAAAATCCTGAGCATGATGGAAGACAATAAGCAGCTCGCGCTCCGCATCGATGGGGCGGTCCAGTCGGCCAGCCAGGAGGTGACCAACCTGCGAGCCGAACTCACGGCCACCAACCGGAGGCTGGCGGAACTGAGCGGCGGCGGCGGCGGCCCCGGCTCGGGCCCGGGAGCCGCGGCCAGCGCCTCGGCGGCGGCGGACTCGGCAGCGGCGAACATGGAGAACCACCAGCTCGGCGCGCAAGGTAGGGACCGCCCGGCGCCCCGGGCGGAGGGGAGGCGGCCGGCACGCCGGACCCGGAGCCGGCCGCGCGCTCGGGCCCCCCACGCCCGGAGCCGAGTCGCTCCACATCGGGGCTCCTAACGCTCTCAGCCCGGCGGTGGCCACCGCGGCTCCTTGGCTGGGAGTTGCAGGCTGCTGTCATTAGCAAAAACCTGGGCGCGTGTGCACGGGGTCACACGGTCACACCGGCCCCGGCCAGCGTGAGCCAGGCGCAGCCGGCGGGTCCCTCCCGGCAGCAGAAAGTGCCCTTTCATTGGCACGCAGCCCCCAGCTCCGTGGCAAACTTTTCATGTCCGGGCCTTGGCCCCCACCCCGCAGGGATGAATGCCACAGTCCCTCCTCCCCCCAGTTCCGAAGGCTCTTTCCTGCTCCCGGCTCTGCCGCTGTGGCCAGGTAGAGGGTTGAACTGGCGTGCGCTTTTCTTCCCAGATGCCATATCCCTAGCTCTCCTGGCATCTGGACTTTATTTTCTGCCTTATTTGAGATCGTGCAGGCAGCAGCATGGATGCAACAGCATGTGTCCTGCGCCGCAGGGAGTTTAAATCTCCAGCAAATATAAACGCTGAGAACACTTTCCTGGGGGGCATTGTGGACTTTGGAAGTGGAGTGGTGGGATCCTGGTGAGGAGGCTCAGAAGGTGCGTTGCATGGAGCCTGTGTTGGAAGGGACGCTTTGCAGTTTTGAGGAGGAAAGAGAAAAAGACAGTTGGTCAGTGCTGACTGACATTAACAGCGATTTAGCCCTGAACCCTTCCCTGCGAGGATTAAAGGTGCCTCAGGTATCCCTCAAATGTAGTTTGATTTCTGTGAATTAGAAAGTGAAGGGGCAAGCAGGCTTTTCGCGATTTTTTTTTCCTTTTTGTCTCATTGCTCTTTAAGAAACATGGGTTATTAAAATCATTTGAATTGTAAACTGAAGTGCTGGGATCCAGAACAGGATAGAAAAAAAAAATCTCCAGTCTATGAGGGCCACTTGTGTACTCATGTGACTTGATGAATAGAGGTACCAATTTGCTTAGTGGCTGCAAATGATTTTCTGGGGGGGGGGGGTGTGTGTGTGTGATTTCAAGAATTTCTCCTGAGAGTTGAGAGTCTGTTTTCATATGAATGCAATCCCTGTTTCTGCCCTGCCTTCCCTGGGAAGGTGTGTGGGTTTTTGATGAAAGCTGTGAAGCCTGAATGTTATACCAGTTTTAAGTCCAATTCCCAGTCCAATCTGAACTTGGCACTTGAGTCACAAGTCTTGGGGATAGCGGGGAAGTACTTAGGTAAGGAGGGAGCCATGACGTCATGGTGGGGAGGTGCTGTGGTCCTGGTGCATGCTGCACGGTACTCGAGCTTGACACCTGGTTATTCTTGTCATTTATCCCTTGCTATGTCAATTGTGTATGAAAGCTCACTCGGTACTGAAACCTGAGTGGGGGAGGGGAAGGGGCAAACCACAAATGCTTTACTTTTTACAGGCAGGAACTCTTGTAACATTAAAGAAATAGCTAAGAACTGGCGTTTTGTAAAGAATCAAAAGCCATCATAAGGGACACTGAACAATGCCTGCTCATTTCCCACTGTCTGCCCCTTTCTCAGCCAAAGAAAAGTTAAGTGGCTTTTTATCTGAGTCCTGGGTCTAGTTGCAGAGCGGGCGTGCTGGGGAAGTCAGTGCACCGATGATGTCCACACACTCAACTTGGAAATTGAGATCCTTGCTGATGGTTAAATTGTGGTAGTGGAGCAACAGGGGGCTGTTTGCTTTTTCTTTCATTCTGAGAAAAATGCCTAGGACTGTGAAAATGGCTTTAGGATCTCTTGATATCCTTAAAGACACCTGAGCTCCCTCATGCTCTTAGGAGCGTGCCTGTCCCTGTCAGTGGCTGTCCCTGGGTGGTAAGATGAAGGGTGCTCTTGATTTTCCCTCCCGGCACTGTTGGTATTTCTCAAAACCCTTAGTAGGGCCCTTAGTGATTTTATAATCAGAAAACAAAACGTTAAAGGTTTGAACTCATCTTGTTTGATGGCCGCATATCCGTCTAAATGGATGGGAATTTAAACTGATGTCATGGGTGAACACAAGCCACCCGCCCCAATAAAGCCAGGGGGGTCTGGTTTACTTATCTATGACAGCAGCACCTCGAGCCTGTACTTTTAATAATGTACTTTTTGTATCATTTAGCCTCTGAGATTTTTGTTGTTGTTGTTGGTTTGGTTTGGTGGGTTTTGGGGAGGAGGTGGTTGTTTTCCTTTTTAGCCGCCTCTGGCAGCTTCTGGCCTTCTGCAGAGTTAATCTGGTAGCTTTCTCACTATGGCTTTCATTTTCCTACAGGGAAACTTTGAGTTCTCACAAGTTAATTTGAAAGCGTGGTTGATTGGTTTCCTCCTGCCTCTTCATAATCCACCTCCAGGGAAGCTCGGAGAGGCTCCGCTCCTCAGAGCTTCTGACTGCTCTTCCCAATTCATCTTGCGTTCTCATTCTGTCTGTGCAGGTATGATTCGGTGGCCCCAGCCCCTCAGCACATTTGATGCGAGTGAGTTATCACTCCTCAAATCAAGGTTTTGAATGAAAGGAACATCTTTCAAAATGCAACCTGCAGAAGTTGTCCTTTTAAGTAAAGGACATGATGTCCATATTAAATGCATGCTAATATACCTTTCATAATATGACCACAAAGGGTTACAGGGGAAGTGTCCCCTTCGGCTCTCACCACCAAGAGATTGTAAGCTCCATTTTCAAATATTTTTACTTAAAAAAAAATTCTTTTTTTATCTAAGTAAGCAAACTCACCCATCCATCATTGGCTCTTGTGTTGCAGGAATGACCACGGGCAGTAGGGAGGTGGACAGGGCCTTTCAAGGAAGAACACTAGAGTTTTTCCTAGAGGGTTGATGCAGGGTGTCATTTAAGCAAAGTATTAACTTGGTTAGAACCCTCTGTGAGCTGGGGTGGTTGCTATGTAACAGAATCTAGAAAGTGAACCGCTGAAAATCTGGGCTTTCGGCACTTCGCGGGATCTTCTTTCGGAATCTGTGTTGAAGGCAGGCTTGGCAGCAAGCCCATCTCCTTTCTCCCTGCTGCAAGAGAGTTGGACGAGCCCTAATGAGGATGCTGGCAAACCGCGCAGAGGGCATCCGCGCAGGGTGGCGCATTTCACAGCTCCGGACGCTGCCTCTCGGGTTGCTGGGGTCACCACCGCCTTTGACAGGTGGACAGAAGGAGGCTTGGAAAGAACAGGGCCAAGCATTTGTTCCAGTTCGTCTTGTTGTTGGTAGCCAGCGAAGGGATTTGTTTAAAGTAACATTTCTAAGCTGTTTTCCTCGGCGTAACATCTCCGGGAAAATGTGTTTAAGATGCTTGCGGTTCTTTGAGGGGAAAAAGATAGCAGTTTGTGTCTCTGAAAAGGTTTTGTCTGATGAATGACTAATATTAGATTCAATTGGTTGCTTTGCTATGCGTTAGAATAAAACAATGAGGCATCATCCTCCCCAATTCTAATAGGTGTTAACTGTGAAAAACATAAAATACTCATGCCCCCGGGGCTGGATGCCTTCTGTTTGCTGTTATTTTTTAAAGGAAATCATTGGATTTCTAACCCTATGCAAGTGGAAATGTTGTTACCATCTTCGTTGGGTATGAGGGCTTCCTGCCTACGGCTTTGTTAGAATGGGGTGGAGGAAGGGTCATTTTCCTACACCTTTCTGAATTTCTGCAAATGCACGCAAGTTTTATTTTTCTCTCTAGGCGTTAAAATAGGTTGTTACCAAAGGTGTGACAGCTCTGATCTACCATTACTCCCAACCCTGGAAACTCTTTGATGAAGTACAAATTACCTTCGGAGTGAATCGACTCTGTGAGGAGTCTGTGGAGACTCCAGACACTGTTGCTTTGCGAAATAAGTTCTGTCTTTTGGTGTCCCCTTCCCAATTCCTTCTGCCTCTGCTCTCTTTTTTGAGAAAGAGAATTTGCAAATGGCAGAGAGGATGGAACGAAACGTAGTGTCATCTCTGGAGTCTTTTGTTAGCTTGCTGCTAAGTTACAGAGCTCCCCACATTACCCTGTATGGTGGTTTTCCAGCCGTATGGGTAGGCCAAAATAGTGTCTTTTCCTAACCTGGTAGGCTGTCATGAGATGGGGCTTCAGGGTTTCTTTCTCTTTTTTTTTGCTGAAAATTATCATGCCTGGTCACAAAAAGATTACTTACAGATCAGTACAGTGTGGTTGAAATTACTTATTGATTGGCTATTATTTACTATCTTTCCATTGTCTTTGGAAAATGCCTTCAAAGTCAAGTTTCTGGTGCTGGTTAATTTCACACTTTCAGTGTTTGGTGCGTGATATTCTGCAGTTTCCCCCAAACTTCTTTGATATACCCCGGAAGTCCTAGCTGATCTGGTTTTTATGCTATCTTCCCCAGGTAAGGCAACGTAGGTAGGCTCTCCCCATTTTTTTTTTTACCCCTTACCCCCTGAGACGTTTGGCACTTTCTAGGAATCCTGTAGGGTTATATTTGTGACTTCCTGGCTGCCAGTGAGTTTGTAACAGATGGGCTTGGCAGGTGGCAAAAGCTCTTTGAGACTCTGCCTGTTTGCCCCATGAGTCATATGGGGGCCCAGGTCAAGCTGGGGATCTTGACCACACTCGCTGCACATTTTTCTTCTGTGTCTGTATCTATATATTCATTCCTGGGTCACACAGCTAAGGAAAGCAAACCCAATATGAATTCCTCTGTTCTTTCCAGACCTGTCTCAGACCTGGTCCACATGAACAGTAGTCCGTGGCTTCTCACCCCCCTGCCGTACATCAGGCAGGAGTGGAATGCATTCTCTCCGCTGAGCCCAGGGAGGGTTTTTAAGTGATCTTGCAAATGGAAATGAGTTCTTACTGCTTGGGTTGGGTGTTAGGGAGAGTGACGCAGGAGATGACAGGGGTGTCACCATCAGCGATCATTGCCGTGTCTTCGTGCCCTGAAATGCAGGCAAAGTGAGTTCTAGCAGAATCATTTAGGAGAAGACAACTTTCCTGAAGCCAACAGGGGGGCTATGCACGGGGACAGAGAATACCTATGACGATTCATAGCAGCTAAGAGTTCACACAGGCCCCTGCTGCCATCTTCCAGTCCCCTGCCAGCCCATCCCCACTGTGGAGAGGCTGGAAGAAGGCCAGGGAAGGGAATGCCTCCTTCCACCCCATGTGGTTGGGCCAGACCAGAACATTCTTGCTTGTTTGCTGCAGCGTCAGATCTAAGTGGTAGAGGCCAGGTTGTGCTCTGTGGGCCTGCCTGCTCTCCCCCTGGAATCCTAAGCT